CTTACGCATAGGACCAATATGGTGCGAACTATGGGGCAAACCATCGCTCACTATCCACAAGCGGTCAGTTAAAAGAACATAACCGTATTATCCATGATTTTTTTGGCTATGGCTTGATTGGTTAAATTAAATACTCGCAGCAAGTTCATGTGACGTGCCATGTGAGAAGTCGAGCGTGAAGACAATCAAGTGAAGTTATCAGATAGTATGCTTTAGTTGAACTGTATAGATGCGCTCTGACTTGATTTTGTTGTCTAACTCTACTCTGTGTATCTAACTTAATGTGAATTGATCGTCCTGCCTTAGTTTTGGAACAAAGAAATGTTTCTCTTTTATTATGAGCCTCCAGATCATTTGTTGTACTGATTAAATATTTCCTACTCACCTTGCTTTTGGTATACCCAACATTGTTCTTGATTTACTTTTGGAACACAATATATGTTTCCCCTTATTCATGAGCTTCCAAATCAATTGTTCTACTGAATAAATATATCAGGTTTGCCTTTCTTTTGGTATATCTAATTGCTTTGGCCTTTGGCATATATAACTTTGACAAAATTGTATGTACTGGACTTGGTTATCCTGCCTTTTTTATGGTACGTCCTTGATGTAGTGAGATAATCCATCGTGACCAATCTGTCTAATTCCCTTTGGGAGTACTAAACACTTTGATTAAATGCTGGGACAACGCAATGAGCCAGGCACCCTGCGCGGATATTATAACTGCTCTGTCATGTATGACATTTGTTGCCTATTTTGGTATGATCAATTTTTTTGGAAAACACCGCCGTACAAAGTAATGGAAGGTTTAGATCACATGTAGTGAACCATGTCTATGTGACAGGACCTTGACAAGTGATAACACCCTAATCTCCATTGCTTGCATTTAGAAATCCTTTTTAAACGTTTGACTAAACATATATAAGCAAAGATTATTTTTTTGATAAACATATAGGGCCACAGTTGGGTAGTTTCAACTTCTTAAGACATGAATGTGTCTATGCAGGTGAATTGAACATCTCCCCATTCGAAATCAAGCGACTACTCAATTCTGCCTAATAATCTCACATGCCGATGTTGAACTACATAATGTCTTCCTTGTATCACATGTGATTTTTTCTTCTTTTATTTTGTGATCATGTTTGAATGCGTATGTTAAAGCTGAATTCCTACTAACTTGAGCATTAACTACTTGACCACAACGTTAGGACCGGCACCCTCGCGCCAAGGCGCGCTCCCGATCTAGTAAGAAAGGATACTGCAACTCTGCAAGGCTAGTGGGGTCTCACCCACCCGTGTATCTTCCCAAAACCTAGTGTTGTTTCCGTTCCCCACAATGAATTTGCTCCTGTTGAAGAAGAAAACATTTGTCCTCATTAGCCCCTTCCAAAAAGAAGAGTTAGTCAGTTGTCCCGTCACTTGTGCCAGAGTTTTGGAATGTAAGTACTTATTACGCAATAACTGTAACCAAACCCAATCCCTCTCTACCGTCAATCTGTAGAGCCATTTGCTAAGAAAGCACTTCTTTTCACTTCTAGATTTTCAATTCCCAAACAACCTTGGTCCTTCGGTCTATAAATAATGTTGTTACTTTATCATAACTTTACTATTGTTAAGTAAACTTATTACTGTTGTTACTTTATCATAACTTTACTGTTTGCAGAACAAAATAGAGCTTTACAAGGTCGAATGCTGATTGGATGAGTGCTACCGCCTTGTATAAACAAGCGGGTTGTATGTCGTTGCCATCTTCTTGTACTCTCATTGACTATTTTCTCCCTGCGGTGCATGTAATTCAATTTCATCTCCATTTTAAAGAAATTGCTTATAGGTCCAGAAAGGACAATGAGAAAGCAGATGATGAATTTAAGAAGGCTTGAAAAGGAAAAGAAATTATCTCATTGTATTGTTCAGAAATTTATCTCTGTCTGTTGTATTTTTGCATTGTGAACAATCACCAAATGTACCCTCAACAGAAATGCGTAAAAAATACACAAATGCGGCCGGCATTTCACTTCCGGCTGGAATTGCACAACGGTCAGTAAGTTACACGTGTAACACCTTCGTTTTAAAATACATCCATTCCAAGCACGGCCTTAGATGTATGCGCGTACACCCTATATCTGCACCTGATCCCTTGATGCTGTGAGATATTATTATCATCGTATGATTTGGTTACATTGCCTTGCCGGTGCTTCATGATGTGTATATCCTACACTTACGGACAAAGTGCTAACGACTGATTTCACGAGGAGATGTATCCTCCTCTCCACCACAAATCCACCCCTCCTTGATTTTACCTGACCCCACCCTCTGATTTTAACTCGGCCATGTCAGCCCGTAACCTCCTTTCTGTAACAAATGGCACTTAGATGTAGCAAAGCTCATGTTGAAGGAGTAATGCTACACACACGGGGGACTTTACGGGGGCTCTACGGGCTAACTGAAAATTAATGGCTGTGATTTTAGTTTATTTGGACGGCCTCGCCACTTAAAATCGGGGGGCAATCAGATTAGCGCAGGTTCTCCACCCCGTGAAAGTCCATTGGAACTTGCCCGTGAATGTGGTATTATCGATGTTGAAGTACAGACGGATCCCACAACTCTGGGCTTGGGACTTTGTGATCACAGCGACAACGTACTATGATATCGATGATGAAATATTTTGATATATGTCTACTCATAAAGACAGTCACACTGATAAAGTATTACTGTAGTACATTGACGACGAAGTAGGGACATAACTAAACACATGAACTAAGAGGAAACATGGCGGATAGGGATAGTTGGCGCAGATCAAGGCACACGGACAAGAGCGATGCGACGCCGATGTGCTGCTTTTCCGGCCGGTGCTAGCTAGTTATAATAAGAGTCTAAAACGACAAGCTGATCTACGGACGCAGCCTGTAAACATTATGCAGAGGCGCGTGAACTCGATCGGCATGATATGATCATGGAGACTTGGGGTTGTCGGCGGAGCCGTGGGCAGCGGGAGGGATCCCGGGGACCACGGGTGGCAGCGGCAGGTCGGGCACCAGAGGCGGCAGCGGCACCGGCAAGCCGGGCAGCAGGTCCTTCACCTCGTCCACGGCGCCACCGGCGCCGCCCTTCCCTTTCAGCTCCCTCCCGTCGCAGGACGCGAGCACCACCAGCAGCAGCACGAGCGCGACGGCCAGACGCTTCGCCATTGCTGCGTTTTGCTGATCAAGTACCTTTGGGATAGTCTTGGGCCTTGGCGTGGTGTGGTAGCTAGCTGTGTCGCTCTGCAACTCTGCATGAGCTTTGGCTGATCGATGCGCTGCCTTTTATAGGCGAGTTGCCGGAGTTTGAGACGGTTGGTTGTTCGCCTGGGCGTGCAGCGGGCGGCGTGTCAGGGGAACACGTACGTGTCAGGAGAGGCGCATAGGTGGCGGCGCGAGGCGAAGGCGGTGTGGTACGCGGCGGCGCCCGTGATGAGACGTGCGCGGGCTCACGGGCGGGGAGAGAATGCATGCATGGCAATGGCATGTGCACGTCGGTGGAGCGAGGAATGGGGCGGATGGCTTCCTTTGTCTTCTCCGTGGCCGACGTGCTGCGCAACCTTGCGACGGGCACCCCCGGCCGGTAGTACGCAGATTGGGAAATTAAGAGACGACCGACGAGGTGAGTGGCCACGACGCAGCTACCGGCCGGCCATGTGAATGTAGGTCTGCAATACCACATCAGTCGGGCAAACAAATGAGTGTTGCGCGTTGGGTAGACGGAAAATTTTGGATCATGGTAAAATCTTCATTGCAGAGAAAAAAAAGTATGCGAAAATAAGAACATATAGAATTTATTTCCACTTCCAATCACAAGCCGACCTTAGCTCAGTTGGTAGAGCGGAGGACTGTAGTATTCGCAGATAAATCCTTAGGTCGCTGGTTCGAATCCGGCAGGTCGGACATCTTTTTGTATTTTTTTTGTTTTGAACATTTTGCATAGTAGTAAAAATAGCCCACAGACTTCTTTTTGTATTTTTTTTAACATTTGCATTGTACTTAGAATACTTGCTCCGTTCCATAATATAAATTTCTTTCTGTACCTTCATGGGACACCGCGATATGGGAAGTAACTATTCATGTGCAGGCTTTTTATCTGCAGGCGTTTCTTCTGCATTTGCCTCAGCTTCAACTATCTTCCCATGTTGCCTGCAGGCGTCCCTGCATTTGCCGCAGCTTCAACTATCTTCCCATGTTTTTCTGCAGATAGCTCGTCACTGGGCACTGGCCACCATTCGTAATGGCAGAGGTTTTCGGATGCGAATGACTCCTCCCGTGGAGAAGAAACCATGATCCGCTGAGAATATGCGAAATTCGGTCAAGAACCTTTGTTTCAGGCAGCTGTTTTTTTTTTCCTTTTCGAAGGTTGTTGAATGTAAGTACGAATCAAGAGGCTTACAGCTCGGAATTATTAGTATTTTTCTAGAGAAGCTCCCAAAATTATTTGAACAAGCAACAATATATTTATGAAATTTCAGCCTTTCCTGCGAAAAAAAATGCAAAACCAGTAGCACTTGTTTCCTGACTGGCCTGGTGAAGTGAAGTGAGCAACGATTGTACTATTTGGATTTACCACAGAAAGCTTGTTCAAATAACTGCTTATTCGTATCATTCCATCCATCCACCGTGATGGTTCATAACTTCACATCGTACCTCGTACATAAGATCGATCTACTTGTCTACAGCACCACTCCGTATTTGTGTCATATATTATGCCTCAGCCAACGAACAGCAAAACAAATTAAATGTCAACGACGAAAAGGAAAAACCTATAATATATATGATGGTTTCTTCTAAGCCAGGCAGGCCATTCTCTCTGTATCTTCTTCTTCCAGGTGCTGCGAAATAACATCACTATCCTTCTGTGGCTGCCTGCTACGTGTCTACGGCGAAAGGACCAGTGTTCTCAGGGCTATATCACTGCACATGGACCCGTGGGTCTGTGTTGGCGAACTTCTGTTGAACCTACCGAGCACCGGATCAGGCCGACCCGTATCCACGCGGGTGCGCCTTCTGCCATTTCCAGGCCGTCGCAAGGCTCTCGCGGAGGTCTGTGTGTTCGGCTGTCCAGTTCAGCTCGTCGCGGATCTTGGCCGGGTTGCTGTATACTTCGGCGTAGTCCCCGGGCCTCCGGTCGAGGTAGTCAACCTTGATGGTGGCTCCGGTTGCCTTCTTGCACGCTTCTACAAACTCCTTCACTGACCTACCTGATGAAAACATCAACAGGATACAAGTTCAGAAACAAGCGAGTGTGTGGTCTTAAATAGATTTAGGGTATTCACGTGCGGACAAACCGCACGGCATGATTATAAATCTTTCAACAACCTTTCCCTGTGCCGACATTGTAGATTCCAACTTTGTTAGGCTCGGCTTTACCAAGAGCTTTGACATGAGCATCAACAAGATCTGTGACATCGATGTAGTCTCTTACGCAAGTTCCATCAGCAGTAGGGTAGTCTGTTCCTCGAACCTGAAGGGGGCAGATCGAAAGTCATATACTGTGATTATTATGTAATAATGTCAAAGTGATGGATGCTAGATTATGCACGTCAATATGAGTACCTTTAGCCCTGGAATGATTCCTGATGCTGCGTCAAAACACGCACCAGAAATCCTTCCATGCTCACGCAGTTCAGGCCTTGGAGCTTCCCCGAGGCGTCCCTCCGGGTCTGATCCAATCACATTGAAGTATCTAATTCAAAAGAAACCATAAGTGGGTTTCCTAAGGATTACATATTTTATCTCGGGTAGGAGAGACAAACCTTAAGATCATCACAGCCATGTTAGATTTCTTTGAGAAATCTAGAATGATGTCCTCGGACATCTTTTTTGCCTTCCCGTATGGATTGATAGGTATCTATGTGGCAACACGAGTTATTTACAGATCATTAACCTAAAGTAAACTGTCGAAAAAGAGAAGTTCAGGCACCAAGGACCAACCTGAGGAGTTGTCTCTACAATAGGCATTGTGTCAGGTTCACCATATGTTGCACAAGTACTCGAGTAAATCAGAGTTTTTACATTATGTGCTGCCATTGCCTCGAGCACTGTCAACGTATTTGATGTTATGTTGTGGTAGTACCTGTTATATCAGACTGTCAATATTAGCATTCAATATTTAACGATGAGCTGTCAAGAATGACAAAAATGGACGAGCTTTATTCTAATTTATTTTTCATTTAATGTTGTAATAGTATTAACAGATTGCCTTTGGCAGTTTGTATGGAAAACACAGGTAATTTGCAGCCTACATATTACACAGGAGATACACAGTATCAATGACCTGTATTTACGTAGAGCTATTTAGTGCCTAGCTTTCTAAATAGTTCGAGCAATACAAGGACACTGACACACCACATGCCTAAAATAAAAACTGTACCTTAGTGGCTCTTGCGTGCTCTCACCAACATAAGCAACAGCAGCGAAGTGCATAACAGCATCAAACGCGTTCTCCGAAAACATTTTGTTGACCTGATTGTCGGTTAAGTGCAAAACACATTTCGCAAATGCATGCATGGAAGATATATATGGTGATCTAAGTTATTTTTGTAAGGACAAAGGATACAGCTTTCGGATCGCCTAAATCAGTGTATATAAACTGAAGCCTCCCAGGCTCTGGAAACAGCCTCTGAAGAGCTCTGACAGCTCCCATGTTCCCCCTTGAAAGGTTATCCTGTGAATATCAGATGGCATAAGTCTCTCACTACCAAAGCTCTTATAGCATAAGAACTACAAATATAAACAGGGAATAAGGAATTTACCACAATGGTAACTCGGTAGTTGTCCGTAAGGAGACGAAGAGTAGCATGTGAGCCAATGTATCCAGCACCTCCAGTCACCAGCACATGAGTCACCCCAGTTTCATGGCGAGAGAACTGCAGCACATGTAGATGCATCAACTCCAGTTTGAAAGAGTGGAGTTGCAGGAGTAAATAACTGTAAACTCCTAGATTAGATGGCAATCTGAAATGTCTGTACGAAATCGCTTGCATCTGATGGAATAATGACTATAGTTTATCTAGAACAGATGATGCAACAAAGTATTCTAAAATAATCTCAGCTCGAAGAAGAATAATGGACTGTTCGTCAAATTAGATGGCAGAATGAAATGATCCATCAAATTGCCTTACTGGCCCTTTTTGTCATGAAATCAATATATTAGTGCTCCATGTGGAACTTGAGTGATAACATTAAAATTAAGCCGGAAAGAAGGAACATGACAGTGCCAACTCATCAGCAAGTGACAGCGACATAGCATTCCCACGATAACCTCAGCTGAAAGAAGAAGAATGAACTGTTCCATCAAATTAGATGGCCGAATGGCATGTTCCCTCTAGCTGCCTTACTGGCCCTTTTTGTCATGGAATCAGTATACTAGTGCACCATGTGGAACTTGAGTCATAACATTAAAATCAAGCCAGAAAGAAGGAATCAGGACAATGCCAACTCATCATCAAGTGACAGTGACATAGGCCAGTTGGTGAGAGGTTAGCACATACCACGCTAGTACCGCCAAAACCAGGAGACTGTTTCAACACAATTATGCACATGACAGTGAGGGCAGCAGCCACCGCGATCTTTCCCGCGAAATTAGGCTTGCGTCTCGTGTCGCCGAAGTCCATGCCTGCAAAAATGATGCGCCGAATTCAAAGTTGTGCCAGCAAAGCCATAGTGTCCTAGCCCCAACTACATGTTCTGGCACTCATAGCATAGGTTTCAGTAAATTTGAACAGCCTATAAATTTCGCAGAAGTACAATCACATAATCAGAAACTCCTATGATATTAATGGCATGTGTGTACAACATTTGACCATGAACAGACGCTTTCGTGCCGCAGCCTGCAATAACTATCAAGGTCAAACATTTGGTCTGTATGACTGTAGCATTCAAGTTTCATTCCCTGGTGGTAACCGGGTCAATGAAAAGTTGAAAACAGGCCCAAAAATGGTAAAGTGAAAAATAAAAGTACTAGCAGAAAACCATGAACTGAGGAAGAAATGATGCTGTACCTGACAAGATCCAAGACCTGGTGGTCCTAGCTTGGCTTCTGCTCCGGGGGGTTGTTGGCATGTGCGGTCGGCTCCCGCGGAAGAAACCAACAAGAACTCAACTTCCTCCCCTCCTCCTCCTCCTCCGGCCGACGAATCTGCACCGGCAACAGGGCCACGCACGATTATTCGCAAGAACAAAGAGCAGAGACATCGCCAAATTGGCCTCACAAGAAGGGAAAACTCTGAAACAGCTGCAGTGCAGCTCGCCGACGGAATAAATCACGCGGAAAGCAAGGCGAGAAACAGGGGAAGGCGAGGGAAGCGTGGTGGCAGGAACCCAAATCAATCCTTGACCGGAGGAGAGAGGAACTGAGCCAGGGAACTCACCTTGCGAGCAGATCGGCGCGGCGGGGGACGGAGGCGGAGGCGGGCTTCGCCGGCGATTTGGGGGCCGGCGCGAGATCGGTGTGCAACGGTCCGAGATGGGGGAGGGAAGTGAGGGGGGGGGGAGGAGCAAGTCGTCGGGGAGTTTCTATTTACCGAGTCATAAAGCCTGCGCCGATTTATAGGAATCTTCTGCATATGGCTCGCTCGCTGGCTGGATTCTCGCGTATTTAAATACGGTTCTTTTCTGTAGACCGGGAGTATTTTAGTTGGAGGCAATTGTTTAAATGGAAGGTCTAGGTAACGAACGTTCACCCCCGGTTTCTAAGGGGTGAAGTGCTTGGCAACCGTGGGATGCAACATTATGCGGTTCAGATGCAAGGCGGTTCCACCTTTTTTCCAGAGGTGACAATGCGGACATATGGTTGCCGACGTTTAATGGTGACATGTCGGTGGATGCAACATGGTGACATGGGGCAGATGGTCGGTGGGTGGTACCGGCAAGGCGGTTCCACCTTTTTTCCAGAGGTGACAATGCGGACATATGGTTGCCGACGTTTAATGGTGACATGGGTGTAGGACGAGAGGAGAAGAAACGATGGCAGTGAAGCAAGGTACTGGTGGAAAGAGTAGAGCGATGCGATGGAAGGTGCGACGAGAGGAGGAGGAGGGAAAGAATGTTGAGAAAAGGCAACCCTAGGGCCAGCTATCTCGCGAATGATCATGCTTCATTCAAGTTTTCACACGAACACAAGCACACTGTAAGCAACACCCGAACATATTGTGTATTAAGTGGATGGGCTCCCACCACTCATTCTCCCCCTCTCGCAAGTAAGAATGGACACTGGAGTCTCCCCTTTCTCTCTCTACAACCCTCGTCTTGAATCCTCAAATGTCGACCAAAAGCCGAGGGAGGGAGCGCCACACAGCCATGACCGCTGAGAAACCCGAAGCCTAGGGGAGTGCCTTTTGCTTATTGCTCCAACCGGTCAAGATCGGCAGGGAGCCAATTGAATCAAGAGAAAAGGCCGAGGATCACCGGCCATGGGGGACAGGAAGAGTTATTGTTCCTGCTCCTATACCCATGTCTTCTCGATGCCTCCACCGTTCTTCTCCTTCTTCACCTTGTTGTGCCACCATGCGTTCGCCGCCGCTGTCGGCAACCCACCCCTGTCTCTAAACAGAATGCAGGAATCCGTCATGAGGGATCTCTCGCGCTCTGTGGGCTCACCCGAGTGGAACGCAACCGTCACAAATCTATGCCTATGGAGAGGAATCGGTTGCTCCCCTTCTAACTCCACTTCCTTCTCGGTGGTGACTACCCGGGTACAAAATTATGAACTGCCAGATGGGCCAAGATCTTACCTTTTTCCTAATATAATCCCTGCATAATAATTTTTCTACATAGTTCTGCCTAAGACTGGGTGGGGGGGGGGCATGGCCCCCTCAGACTTGTACTAAGCTCCGCATTGATGCAGATAGATGGTTGTCCACGTTTCATGGGTGTAGGACGAGAGGGGACAAAGCGGTAGCGGTGAAGCAAGGTTGTGACGGAAAGGGTAGAGCATTGGCGATGGAAGTTAGGGCGACAGAATGGTAGGAGAAAGACTGTGTTGGGACAGACGCAACCCTAGGGCTAGTTATCTCGCGAATGATCGTGCTTCATTCAAGTTTTCGTGTTTAAAAGACAGTATTTCACACCATCACAAGCACACTATAAGCAAATACCCACACATATTGTGTGATTAAGTGGATGGGCTCCTAGTCAAGTGCCGAGAACAGGGTGGTGTCCCTCGACAGACTTGAGTTTGAATCATGTGGGCTGAAATAGTCATTGCGTGGTTAACATGTATACTCCGATCACATACGGCGCACCGTACAATGATAGTGGATTTTTTGAGCTCGAGCTCTTTTCTGAAAAATAAAATAAAATCGAAAATCATATTTTGAAGTTTCAAAAAATTCTGAAAAAAATGCACATGAACGTAGAGATGTATACTGCTCCATGTTCAAAGCTCCGCCCGTTTTTAGACTGACCCTGACTAGTCATGAAGAAATTTGTAAAGAATAGTAGCATGGCAGCTGCGTAGTGCTGGGAACCAGATCTCCTAGGAAGCGAACATGCGCGCTAGAAAAAACGGCAAACCTGGATGTGTACACGAGACAGGCGCACGCTCTCAGGTCGCCGACGCCGACAGAAGTGAAGATGTGTCACATGGTTCGGGTGCTGTGCTGGTCGCCTACACCGGCTTCCTACTATGCTACACTAGGGACGTGTTTGGTTGCCGTGCGCTACAATACCCGCATTGCATACACTTCTTCATTCAATCTGGCTATGCAAATGCACCATATGCATGTTGTTTGGTTACCTGCATGGACTGAACCACACTGTCTGGTGTTTGGTTGCCTGCATGTTAGTCCACAAACTCAAGGCATGGTGTTTGGTTGTATGCAAGGCCTGATGTGTGGTAACCTCTTTGGCTAGTTGGTGAAGTTACCACCACACTTCGGCAGCACACATCATAAACACAACAGAGTATAAACAGAGCATCAACTAGCATAATTCAGATATAAGCAGTACCACAGATATAACAGTTCAACGCATAAACTATAAACATGTTCAAAGCAGACTCGATAGTACGCTCGAACGAGATGGCCCGGCCCTACTCCTTGGCGGCGAAGGCTTCGTCATGCTTCCCGCACTTGTTGACGACCTCAATGACATTGTCGTCGAAGATGATGACCTTGAGGGTGTCGGGAGTGAGGAGCTTGAACGTCACCATGTAGCCGCTCTTGATCTGATGAACGGCTGCGTAGGTGGCCCAACCCGGATCCAAGGTCACCTTACCGTTCATCAGCTTGACCGCCACCTTCCAGGAGCAGCCAGTGTTGTTTCTGAGCTTGAACTCCGTCGGCACCGCGACGAAGTGCTTGGTGAAGTCCAGGGGCATGGGGATGCACTCAAGCTTCGGTGCAAGGATGACCTTGCAGAAGTGAGTTGGGCCATCCTCCTGATGGTAGTGGCCGTAGTTGCGGCGCTTGTTGCTGGGGGGCTCCTCCATGCCCTCATCGCCGCCACCCTCAGGCGTCTTCGGGTCTTCCTCCGCGGTGGGCGGGAGCTCAACCTCGTCGGGCATTGGGTGAAGGGGCTGCTTGCCCTTGCTGTCAACGGCCGGGAGCACCTCCGTGCCTATCTCATTGTTATCCTCGATCTGCACACAAGTCATGGAGTCAGGCATTGCACAGAGTTCATGGCTAATTCAAGAGTTTGTAGTTAAAACGACATGACTGTCACTTTTCTCTTTCTCTCCACCCCCTATATTTACTCACCCTGCCCACCACTATTTACCCACCCCCTCTCTTCTTTCACTGTCAACCTTCCTCCTCCCCATCGTCATGAGCTCTAGCTCCAGCTCCAACGCCAACCCCTTCCCTTGGGGTATTGGCTAGAGGGTCTTCTTCCTCGAGTGGACGGCTGGTGACCGGACCAAGTTCGAGAACACCATGGAGGTGTGCTCGAACTTCGGCTCCATGCCGGACATGCAGAACGAATCTAATGCCGTGCTCATGAAGGCCACTAAAGAAGAGCTGAAGACGCTGATTCCTGACCCAGCGAAGGGCGCGATGGCAGTTGACATCATTCGCTGGGCCATGAATCAGGTCGTCTCCGATGACCCTAAATAGAGGAAGAAGTGGTGCAAGTACAAGACCTACTGGGCTCCTAATGACCGCTGTGCCGTAGTGTACTGGGAGACGGCTATCGCGCCGCCGACGGTCATCGGCGGGGAGCCTAAGGAGGAGGAAGAAGAGACGGTGCACATGCCAGCTAGGGCGCCGGAGCCAGTCCGTCCTACCTGGCAGATCGACCTCGACTCCGCCGAGGACGACGAGGACGACCCGCCGGCCCGCACGACGATGAAGAAGATGATGAAGGCCAGCGGCTCGACCAGCCGCTCCGCACGCCGGTGACGGCCGCCGCGGTCAGCCGGTGTCCGTTGTGTACCCCCTTTCCCCCTATTCCCCTATCCCCCAATCCCGAAATCTACCTTATGCATTCCGATCTTGCATGTATGAACTCGTATGAACTGCTATGAACTAGTATGAACTACCCCTATGCTTATCTACCTCTATTCCCCATTCCCCTCCGCCGTGGATCGAATCTAGCGTGCATGTCGAAGAGAGAGAAGTGCTTACCGCCATTGATGGAGTCCGGTGGTCTTCTTCCTCTGCTCCGATCCGCCGCCGCCGGTGATGGAGTCCGGTGGTCTTCTTCCTCTGCTCCGATCCGCCGCCGGTGAGAGTTGAGAGATTGAGGAAGAGTGGGGAGAGGGAGCGGTGAGGAGCGGCGAGGCTAATAAATGTCGGTGCTTCAGGAAGCAACGCGGCTTCTCGAGGATGGCCACACACGTGCAGCCGTGCCCGCCCACGTGCACCGCTCGGGCCTGGCCCTGGAGAAACTGCCGATTCGTGCGTTTCCAGTGAGGCAGGCCCTGAGGTGCTTTAAAAAGCGTGCGATACAGGTCCAATAATGTACGCGGGCTATCAAACAGGCCACACACATCCCGCGTGGGCCTGCTTAGGCTGCATACGGACAACCAAACACGCCCTAGGTACATGTTTGTTTTCGGTAGCACGTAGTAGGATTGGTTGTAAAAATCGCAAGCAAAGTGGCAGCAGTCCCGCTAAACGGCTAAAGTAAAGCTGTAGCTAGTGCTCTTCGTACGCTGGTTTTTGGTTTGTTCCCTGGCTGGCTGGATAGCTTGGCCGCGTGAAAGCCAGCCACCATTGGTGCGGGTCAAAGCTTTCCCCCTTGTACGCGGCGGGGTCTGCTGCATGTCCTCACCAGCCCAGCCACAGCCAATTGCCAATGCAACGTCGGCCAAATCAGAGGTGTTTCCCCACAAGAAAAAGACAGTACTTAGAAATCATGGCCGTACTCGTAAATCATGCTTAGAATACATTGAAAACAGTCGTACTCAAAGCAGTACTCCTACTGTGTCTGCAATAGACCGGCTCCGGCGGATCGAACCGAACGTCGGTACTCCACTAGCAAACAGTAGAGGTTGTTAAATTATGTACTTCTCGTAGAAAGAAAATCTCTAGTGTGATTAGGACAAGCGAGCGAGCAGGCGGTGATTGGCGGATCCAGGCCGAGAGGGGAGGCCGGGTCAACACTTGCGCCGCGTGTGGGATTGAGATTGAGATTGGACCTAACCTTCCCGAGCTATACTCCCTCCATTTTAAAATATAGTGCGCCCGCGTTTCCTGAGGTTCAACTTTGACATAAATTTAACCAACGAGACCAACTCCGGCGGGAGAAAAAAATATACAATTAAAAACTTCTTTCGAATACGAATTCACTGATATAATTTTTGCTTCCGCCGCAATCGGTCTTGGTAATTAAATTTACGGTCAAAGTTGAAGCACATAGATAAAGAAAGCACTACATTTTAGAATGAAGGGAGTACTTGAATAGTCCGCCTCTACCGGGCGTCTGGTTTCCGGGAATCTTTCTTGCCCAGACGCAGACCGTGATGTGATGTGCTGTGCTGAGCATGCACCTGCAAGCAG